ATATTTGGTGGGGATTAAAATTAGAGTGCGTTTGATTACCAATATTTTTCATGAAAAATGCCTTTTTTTCCATCCAATTTTCAATTTTTGTGTTGTTTGATTGATAATTTTTTTTTCTACTTTTGGTTATGTGGTCATATTTTCCTTAAAAATAAGGAAAATATTTTCTTTAGGGAGAAGTGATTTTTATTTTTTAGGTAATTTACTTTCCCCTTCTCTATCTCATCTATCACCTTTCTCTCATCTACAAACCAACAACAAATGGACAAATATAATATTTTTTAGGTTGAAAACTAAATCAATCAAATATATTTAATTAATAATTCTCGTACAAATAAGCAGAAATCTATCATGTTAGAAGGGGACGCGATGAATGTTGTTAAGGGACTAAAAGGTGAACTTGAGATCTGGAACTACCCCGGCCTATTGATTCAGGACACAAAGAGTTTACTTGGTCACTTTCAATATTGGTCTGTTAGTCATATTCCTAGACAGGTTAATGTGGTCGCTCATACTTTAGCAAAGGAAGCACTTAAACTCTCTGAGGAGAGAATTGTGTTGGAGGAAATTCCCTCTTGTATCCGAAATTTGCTGCTTTGAAGCTTAATGAAATGCTTTTTCTCAAAAAAAAAAAAGTTAATTGAATTGTCTAAAATTTATTTTTTTTTCTTATGCAAATTTAATGCTCGCAATCAGTGGCCATGCCCACCTCCATTCAATTTTTTTTTTTTGTTATACCCATTGTTTTTCCACCGTTCAAGCCCAGTAGCCTACTGTTGAAAATTTTTGCCCCCATACCAATAAATCCGGGCTCCGCCCCTGCTCGCAATCAAATGTACTCTTAGATATTTAGCAAATTTTGATAAAAGTTGATGAAATATATGATTGAAAAGTTGTGAACCTAATAAAATATGTGATTAAAATTANTGAAATATTTACTTAAAAAGTTGTGGATTTTATAAAGTATATGATTGAAAATGAATACAAAGAAAAATGAGTTTAGAAAAGACTAAATATAATCACATCACGATTTTTAATAACTAGACTGTTTTAATCATGTGAAATGTTCATAATCTTTAATTATCACATTTATGTCTTAAATTTTTTTATCACATTATTATTCTCAAATTAACATAAACTGCTCGTGATTATGGTTTCTCTGCAATAGTTTCTTTAAGATGGGGTGAAAAAAAAAAAAAAAAAACTTATTTGTCAATTATATTTATAATAAGCAAAACATATAATAATACAAAAATACGATTAAATATTTGATCCTTATTTTAAAGTACGCTAACATATTTTTGGATGAAAATCATGATTAAGGACAAGAATTTTGACCAATGAAATGTTAAAAATACGAATGTGATGAAGAAAAAAGTTAAAAGATATAAGTGTAATAATGAATAAAGGTTAATGATTTTAGCCTATATTTGGTGGGGATTAAAATTAAAGTGCATTTGATTACCAATATTTTTCATGAAAAATGCCTTTTTTTCCATCCAATTTTCAATTTTTGTGTTGTTTGATTGATAATTTTCTCCACATAATTTTTTTTTCTACTTTTGGTTATGTGGTCATATTTTCCTTGAAAATAAGGAAAATATTTTCTTTAGGGAGAAGTGATTTTTATGTTTTAGGTAATTTACTTTCCCCTTCTCTATCTCATCTATCACCTTTCTCTCATCTACACACCAACAACAAATGGACAAGTATAATATTTTTTAGGTTGAAAACTAAATCAATCAAATATATTTAATTAATAATTCTCGTACAAATAAGTTAATTGAATTGTTTAAAATTTATTTTTTTTCTTATGCAAATTTAATGCTCGCAATCAGTGGCCATGCCCACCTCCTTTCAATTTTTTTTTTTTTTTTTTGGTTATACCCATTGTTTTTCCAACGTTCAAGCCCAGTAGCCCACTGTTGAAAATTTTTGCCCCCCATACCAATAAATCCGGGCTCCGCCCCTGCTCGCAATCAAATGTACTCTTAGATATTTAGCAAATTTTGATAAAAGTTGATGAAATATATGATTGAAAAGCTGTGAACTGATTAAAATTAATTGTTGACTTAGNATTTGAGACCAATGACCCAGTTTGGTGGTGATGAAAATTAGATTTTAGTAGATTTTGATAAATGTTTGGTTGAAAAGATGTGTATCCTATGAAATGTGTGATTAAAATTAATTGTTGACTTAGATTAAAATTAAAATTTGAATATAACTAACCTTTAGAAAATTGGGGCTAAATAAATTAGAATCTAAAAATAAGTACACATTTTCTAAAAAAATTATGTCTAACGAAAAGAAGAGGGATAATCAACGTGGGAGATGGAGGCGCCGTGAGGAGGCGGTCGACGGTGGACAAGCCACGACTGTTACATAATTTTATAGCCTCCGTGGCATAATCGGTCTCCACAAACACTTGACAATCTCTCACTTATATTTCTTTTTCTGTCTCTATAAATAACAACATTTGCTATATGCATGCAGTGTTTAAGTCAAACTGTACTAGCTACGCTTTCTACTTTTCTTGTCTTTATTACTACACCAACATAGATAGAAAATGGGAAGAGCCCCCTGCTGTGAAAAAGTGGGTTTGAAGAGGGGAAGATGGACAGCAGAAGAAGATCAAATCCTCACCAATTACATTCAAGCTAATGGAGAAGGCTCTTGGAGGTCTTTACCCAAGAATGCAGGTTCAAACCTCTCTCTCTCTCTCTCTCTCTCTCTCTCTCTCTTCATATGTGGGTATTAATGCTAATTACGGTTTTAATTGTTTGATTGTACACGTTTGCACTTTTGAAGGGCTACTGAGGTGTGGAAAGAGTTGCAGATTGCGATGGATTAACTATTTGAGATCTGACTTGAAGAGAGGCAATATATCGGCCGAAGAAGAAGAAATCATTGTTAAATTGCATGCCTCATTGGGTAACAGGTTAGCATACCGCGTGCTACATTAGGCCCCCTTTGGTTCAATTAAAAAAATTGATTAAAATTTAAGTTAAAGTTAGTTTTTACCGTACATTTCACCAGACATACAATTTCCAACCACACATTTCATCAACCTATATCAAAATCTAATGAAAATATAATTTTTATCTAAACTAAACGGGAGCTAGCTACAATCGAACATAACAATTAATTGATAATGATACAACTCGAAATTCACATTTCTCGAGGAATATATTATGTGGTGTTACTTTTCTACAAAGTAAACTGTAAACGTTGAACGTATACAGGGACAGATTTAGGGAGGGCTGTAGCCCCCCTCCCCACCACAAAAAAAAAATTATGTAAAAAAAAAATGTGTAATTTTATTTTTTTTTACGTATTAGCCAGGCCAGTAATCCGGTCCTGGATCCGTCCCTGAACGTATAGTTATGTTCCGCAAAATAAGTTACAAATTTTACGCCCACCAAATATACTTCGACATCGTTTCCAACTATTTATCTGCTTTATTTGTTGTCTCGTAGGTGGTCTATGATTGCAGAACACTTGCCAGGTAGAACAGACAATGAGATAAAGAACTATTGGAATTCTCATTTAAGCAGAAAAATTTACAGTTTTCGGCGAACCACTGAATTTGCATCACCAAAGATGGCAGTGATAGATTTTTTCAAGGCACAAGCGGCGGCGAACAAGCGGAGAGGTGGTCGAATGAGTCGGAATAAGAATATAAGCAAGATTCCGGCTAAAGTTCCAAAATCATCGGAGCAAATGAAAGAAATCGACGGTGGAAATGCAGCAGTGGCAATGCCAAGTACACCAAATTTAGAGAAAGAGGCCTTATCGAGTACAATTCCATGGCCGGACCTGTCCACCTTAGAAGAAGTAATTGAAACCCTAGATATGCCTAGTCCTCGGCCAGGCTCCTGCCAGGACGTGGAGGTGAATAATGAAGGAATGGAAATGATGTGTCTTGATGATATTATAGTGGATGCAAATGGGAATTCAAGTCCAGATCATAATGAAAGTGAAAGAGGAACGATCACTACTAGAAAGTGCGACAACAACGATGGAATATTACCAATTGATAATTTGGGATCATCGAGTTGGGAGAATGAATTTGAATGGGATTGGGAATGGGACAATGCCATTAATGGTGGAAATGAGGTATGCGGACAAGAAAAAAACACATATTCTTGGCTTTGGGATAATAATGAGAGTGGAGAAGGGGATTGTGATAATGGGATAGGGTTTGAAATGGACACGAATGAGAAGCATAATGCAATTGTTAATTGGCTTCTCTCTTGAAAGACTTAAATTTTTTACATTTTTCTAATTTATCCTTTTTTTTTTTTTTCTGTTGTTTAATCTTCTTGTAATGATGTTGTCTTGTGCACGTAGCATTGAAGTTTAATTAAATATTTTGAAGGGAACTCAAAAGTTTATTGCGTTTTCTTCAATTGAAAAGTATTACTGGCAGAAATTCGAAAACAATAATCGACATACGAAAGTTTTCCTTTAATAAAATTGTCATTTTAAAGTAATTATCAAGATTCAATAGGTATAGTATTAAAGACTAAAAACTCAAACTAGTAAATTGATTTATCTAAAATTCGAGAGTTGTTGCCTGTTGGATACAAAAAGATTTGTATTTTGTAAATGAGCAATTGTCCGAAAATGTTAAGGGTAAAAATCTAATGTCCAAAAATAATGGGAAAACGAGCCATGCCCACGAGCCAACTCATGGGCCTTAACGTGCCGGACAAGCTCGGGTCGTAAAAAAATTGTGGGCTCGACTCGACCTATGGCTCGTCTCAAAGGGAGCTTGAACTGTCCATGTGACGGGCTGATCCGAACCCACGTGCACATAGACGGTTCGATCTTTTTGCCATCTCTTGACTCTAGTCAACACTCGTTGAAGATAAAATTATTACTCATAAAATGTCTTAAAGTATGTATTATGGTTATTACACTAAAATATTAAAAATGGCAAAGGTTATAGGACACATTTTGGTCCCTCCTTTAGTGTATCCTTTATATATATTATTTATTTATATACAATGTCTTGTAACACGAATCAAGTATATACATGTGATACCCGTCACGTTGTGAGAGGCCTGATAGGCCCCTGTGAAACCCCCACCTGTGCGTGGTGGTTTGTCCCAAGTAGAAATACACATTACAATACACGAACACATAAATAAATAAATACGTGTATATATATATATTCCTTTATTCTGTCGCTTACACATAAATGCAGCAAGAAAGTGGGAACCGCCGACAGCCTACTTCTCAGGGTATACTTGTGGAAAATATCAATGTGCTTTTGTCACGATTATTATAGCCCGGCGTCTACCCACTTCAATTTCACCCTATATTTTTCCAATGGTCCGTTTGTTTGTAAGAGTGAAAAATTGGTGGAAAGAAAATAAATTTCAGGGAATTGAATTGTTTAAAAATTATTTTATTAAGAATTGTAATTAATTGTGTTTGATTGGTATAATTTTTCATTTGGTCTGTTTGGCTTCGTTTTTATGAAAATTGTCAATTAAAGGAATACATTTTTTTTTTACAATTGGGGATAAAATTTGCTTAGATTGCTAAAAAATAAAAAAAAATTGAAAAAAAAAATTGGTGTTCGTTTAACTTTATTTTACATGAAATTTGTCAATTTAAGGGATAATCTTTTTTACAAATGTGGATATATTTTGTACCCATTGCCAAAGAAAAAAAAAACATGGAAACCATTTTCCCACCTAAATGGTGGGAAAAAAAATTCAAGGAAAAGCTAGAAAGTGTCACTGTGTGAGAGAGTGTGGCAATTCAAATTAGGGATGGCAACGGGGCGGGGCACCCCCGCCCCGCCCCGCC